GAGGAAGAGGTGTATGGTGTGTTTGAACAGAAGTTCTGGCTATCCTATGAGGGGCCGGGAGAGGAACAGTTGGCTAGGGGCTCCGATGATGGGGGTCAGCCCTCCCGGTTTCTGGCCAGGCGGAACTCGGACCACCTGTGAGGAATGGGGGGGTGAAGGAAAGGTGAGAGCCCTCCCCTTGATCCCCAGGTGTGGGGTGGGTGGAATAAGGCTAACATTTGAGCAGGGGTAGATCGTTCGGCCAGCAAGGGGCCCAATTTTCATTCTTGAGGCCTACATGAAAAGCCCCCCCCTCCTCAAAAAATGAAACCAAGAACTGGACAGCAATCCACTCTGCGTTTTGATTAAAGAACATGGTGGGGTTTTAAAACTGTGCATATTTAAAAGCCAACTCACAAGTCTTTGAGCTGAAGTCTGTCCTTGTTGTTGTTTTTTTGCTGGAAAAAGAAGAGTGGGATGATGGGGGGGGTCGACAGCACTTTGTGCCCAGCCCCTGCTCCTCACTTGCAGGTGAAGGGAGGGTGGGTGTGAGCAGGAGCTTCTCTTGATGTGTGGAGGGAAGCGCATAGGATCACATCTGCAGGAAGGCGCCCCCCCTCCTTGCTCCTCTTTATCCCTCTCTTTCCCAAACAAAGGGCAAAACCCTATGGCACCATGAGGCCATCCTAGGACACACGTTCGCAACCCTTGGCGGGGTACAAAGCCAGGCTTTTGAGGGGGGCGCAATTTGTGTTTATCAGGAAGGGCCGAGCCAGAAAATGGTCTGCTGTTGCCAAACAGCCCACGTGCAGTTGTGCAGGGCTGTGGCTGGCCGCCTCGGCTTGCCTCTTCCCCCCACGGTGCTAGTCCCTGGGTTTTACAGCAGCAATTTCAAAAGCCTTGCCCTTCAGCAGACACGTAGGCCAGCCTCAGGCCTGGAGCCGGGCAGGTGGCAAGAGGGGAAATCCTTCGAGAAGCACACACACACACACCCGGGAAGCAGCGAATCCTTATCTTTCCCCCTAATCCATTCAGGCTTTTCAGGTTCAGGATCCTTCTCTCCAGCAGCCCTGGTGATGTGGGTGGGAGGCAGAGGCTTTAGCGAGGGATCCTGTCCCTCACTTTCTGTGTAGGGGTTTCTCCCCCAGCTCTTCTTCTCCATCAGCCAGTCCTTCTGAGCGTGCAAGCTTGACCTCCGGGTCACTTTTCAGCGGCGTGCTCGTAAAGATCTGACCGATAGCCCCGAGTGATGACTTAATCAGGCTTTCCACACTGCCTACGTGCTGGGACAAGCAGCTGGAGCATTTGGGAGCAGAGGCTTGCGAGCGAGCGAGCGAGCGGCCCGGACACCAGTTCCTTCACCAGCGAGGCAGCGCTGCTCAATAGATTGGGAATCATTCATCCTCTCTTTCTGAAGCATGGCTTGCGTTTGCAAGAACAGGGCTCATCCAGAGGCTAGAAAGCACACCGATAATATTTTTTAAAAGGTTGAAAGACACCGGTGACAAAAGCAACAGTTGAATTCATTTTGGGAAGGTGTGACATCTTTTACTTTCCCCTAAAAACCAAGGGGGAATCTTCAAAGGGCACTTTTGTAGGGCTTAAAAATCAAGCACAACCATGGCATGGAGAGTGGGTAGTAGTCGGGTGGAATATCTTCCTCTCCAAAACCAGAACAGCCGTTCAGGAATATTCCTGCCAGAAGTTTTCAGCAGGGTGTGCTCGGAGATTTTTCAGGCAGTGCAGTTTTGTCTGCTGAAATCTGGCATTTGTCAAGTGTTTGTTTGGGGACCACGCAGTTGAAAGCAGGCTTCAGGATTTGAACTATGTTGATTCTTAATATTTTTCCTTCGAGGCCACAGCAGCGTGTGTGTTACACCCCTTCTGTTTGTTACACTTCTATCCTGTTTTTGCCTACAGCAAACGGAAGGTGGCAGTGTAACATGACTCTCACCCCCTTTCCCCTTGATTTACACAAGAACCCTGCGAGGTAGGCCAGACTGAAGAAGTATAATGGGCTCCCGGTGATGTTCATAGCCAAGTGGGGACCCAAACCCAGCTCTCCCAAAGTTTGGATCGGCGTGGTGTCTTTGCATGGTGCTATTCAGAGTTTGCAGCAGGAATTGTTGGAATGGTGTCATAGCCCAGGGGGCGAGGCAGAAAGGCTGGCTCTTCTCCTTTCTCACCCCCTCCAGAAGATGCAATCTGAAAAGAGTTTCCTTGCACTTGATCATCATGCAAATGTGCCACAGTGGGGTGCGTCAGCGGTTCTTGTAAGGCGTGAGCAATGTTGTTCTCCTGTAGCCATGTAGCCCTAATTGGGTTCAGTAGCAAAACCAGGCTGGAGCTTCAAAATCTGTGTCCTCTTCCACTCCCATTTGGGGAGAAACCAGCTGATATCCACATCTAACATCACATCTCAGTAGAGCATTGAAGTACACAGAGAGCACCCCCCTCTGCAATTTTGGCTGAGCACCATCGCCCAGTGGAATTACTGTCTGTGGCTGCCCAGTGTCCTTCCCAGCCCTATCGGAGGCTCCACCAGGCTCAGAAATGGTTGGGGTGGGGCTGGGGGCAGAGGGAGGGTCAAATCCTGAGCGGAGTCTGCAGGACAAATACGTTTCTGGATCTAGAATGTTTCACTTGGGTGCCTGATGGTTAAGAAATAATGTCTCTAGGAGCTTTTTTGTTGTGAGCTACCGGAGGACTGATTTCAATTTTCCCAGTGAAAGGGAAGGAGGCAGCAGCAGCGCCTGCCCCCACCTCCGTGGAGAAGTGGGTGGGGGGTGCTTTGCTGGAATGGGGGCGGGAATCTTGGTTCTGTTTGTCGTTTGGAGAAAGCTGGCGAAGGGGTGGCAGGCAGAGGGCGGAAAAGGCCCTTGCTTGGTAAGAAGACAGCAGGAGACTCGCGGGTCATCGATTTCTTGGGTGCATGAAAATCACGTGTTCTTTGACACCGAGGGGGGGGGGAGGTAGGCGAGAAAGCTCTCCTCCCTTCAAGGACTTAATGAAGACGGTTTGTCTCCTCTTCCTCCAGGGTTCTGCCGAGAGTCTTCATCCGAAAATGAGCCACCTTCTGGTGAGTGTTGGGATGCCTCTCCCCTTTCTTCATCTTGGGACCCTTGGTTTTGAGTTTTAGTTGAGGACCCGGATTAGGAGACACGTAAACCGCTTTGCCATTCTTTCGCTCTCTCTCTCCTACACAGGGCTTCTTTTGGTCTGGACTCTTTAAAGGCAGAATGGTATTGTTTTGAATTTTTTTCAAGCCAGAAAGGTTTTAATGTCAAATAAAAGCTGTGAGTGACCTCACCAAGATGGTCGCCCTTTTGAATGAGAGTTTGCCCGTCTTTATCAACTGTGTTGGCCTACAGTTCCCATCTTCCTCCTGCCTGGCAGGGGAGGAGGATGGGGATTCCAGTGGAAAGTATCTCAAGGGCTCCAAATTTAGTGGCAGCTGGTTCGTATCCCTCCGTTAAAAGTGGCATTCATCTTTTGGGCCCCTGCGGATAACAATTCTCATGACCGCCCTTCGTTTTGATGATGCTTATGTTCACCCTGTCGGTCGGATTGCATCCTCCGCCGGTTAATGGAGAGTCACGTGTCCAAGCTCCGATTTGCTGGCCTTTTGGGAAGCGGGCCCCATCGGTCCGAGGCTGTGCTTTTCCATTTCCTTGGGGATGAGAGCCAAGATATCTGCCCCTGCTGGAGCCCTTCAAAGTCAACTGTTCTGACACAGGTTCAGGCTAAGTTCATTTCTGTGGAGAAGGCCCTTCTACCCCCCACTTCCATTAGCATAAGCAGGGGAGAAGAGCAGGCAAGGGTCAGTAGAAGTTCAAACCAGGGGCAACCTTTTCCTCCCCTTGCCCCCTTCCCAAACTGCCCCGATCCTGCAGTGCTGGCCACAACTTTTCTTCCCCCCTTCCTTGCATGTTTACTATACAGCTGTAAAACTCAAAAGAGAATAAGAGGCCGGGCGTGACCCAAGGGGTGCTGGAGCAGGAGCACCAGGGAAGAATAGCTGACATTGTCCCTTAAAACAGGAGAAATAATTGATTTATGTTATGGTGCCCAATTAGGCTGTAAAGTAGGAAACGCTTTAAAGCTACCCTGTGGCTTTGCGGCAGCAGCCGGGAGGAGGCACCCCAATAAAGGCCCTCAGCTCGGGGAGCTAAATTATTTATTCCTTTCATGCTACTCAGAGCCTTGTAAACAGTACATAATACAAGACAACAATCGGTGCCGTTCACTTCTCGGCCAGAGGAAAAGGCCAAAGGGCAAGAACCCGGGCTGGCAACAGCTGGTCTTCAGAGTCAAGCGGACTTTTGTTCTCCGTCCCTCCTTTTTACGGCAGGCCCAAATTGGTGGCGGCTCTTAAAACTCTTTGCCTGACTCCATCTCTTCCCCGAAGGACTCGGGGGCAATAGTAGGAGACGGGCCTGGGGCCGTCTCGTCCTGCACGCGTGCATTTCAGCGGAGCTTGGGGCTTCGATGCCAAGGGAGGGAGGCCTTGGGATGTGCCCTAGGTGGGTGTCTTTTGAGGAGCTGCAAAGAGGGAGCCCCACAGGTATTTAAGGTTCTGCCCCTGCCGCAAGAGAGCGCACCCTTTTCATAAGTCAACTTAGCTGTTTAGATGACGAGAAAAATGAAAAAGTCTAGTTCATTATTGCATTTTTTAATGTTTGTGGGGGTGTATGTGCCCCGTAGCTACACATGAATGAACATTCTGCAGGCTGGACGTGGCAAAGCATTGGAGGAAGATGGGAGAAGAAGCAGGGAAGTTCAGAAGCCATCCTTGCTAGATACGCAAAGCATGGGAGCTGTATTTTAGTTTCAAAATGACAACTGCGTGCCCGCCCTGAAAGCCAGCTAGAGATGCAGTTGACCCCAGGGTACCTTGCCCGAAACTGCATCAGACGATGGCTGTGTACTTTTGGCCCACCCCTATTAGGAGTGTCTAGCAGCCCTTGGAAGCTGCCTGAGTTTTAGAGGATAGGGATGTGTTGTTCTGAGCTATGGTTCCTGTGATTTCTTGGAGTGATCCACAGGAGGTCAGAAGAGAGGTTGGCTGTGTGACTAGCCCGTGGATGATATTGGCAGAGGCAGAGAGAAGTGGATGGCTGGTGTTACATCTGAATTCAGGAGCCTGGTAGCTTGCTCTCAAACAAACCAGGATCTAACAACCAAACCAATAAATCCTGGCTTCTTACTAGCTTTCTATCCTAGCTTGTTTGGTCATCCAGATCCAAGATATTATTTAATTATATACACTGTCTGATTGTAATTCAGATAATGAATAACTTGCTCTCTCTCTCTCTCTCTACCATGGAAAGAGTGTGTCAAATGGCTATCTCAGCTTCGTTGGAAAGAACAGCTTCATGATCATTTTCTTCAGTAGGTCTCATGCTCTGTCTTGGTTCTCTTTCCAGTTGCAGACTTTGAGCCGATGAATTCCCCTTCTCCTGCGCTGTCCTTGAACACTGGCAGTAAGTACCAGCTTTTTCCCCCCCTTCTCTTCTTCACCTGGGAAGAAACCTGCCTTTATGTGCTGTAGAAACGAAGCATTATCTTGAAAGGAAAGTTCATCAAGCAATACCTGTTTGATCAATTTGGTAGCTCAGCGATGATCTGAACCCAGGTCTTTGGACTCCTTGCCCGACGTTCTAACCGCTCTGCTGCACCAATCCTGCATCTCCCTCTGTCCAGCCCCCCTGATGGCGTTCAGGGGTGGCGGCAGTAGCCATGGCTCCCCTTTTTGGGAAAGAGCCTTGAAATGTTGTTCCATCTGTGGCAGGTGGACCTAACTCCTCCATCTTGGAGGGCTTGTTAAGTTAATGCATAGATGATGGGCACCCACTAGGGGGCAGTTCTCTTTGTTGAAGGAAGGTGGTCCAAGACCCTCATGCTTGAAAGACAGGGTGCTTGGTGTTTGCAGACTCTCATAAAATACATGCAAATCACCTTTCCAAACCTGACACCCTCTGGATGTGGGGGGTCTCATCACCCCCTGCCATCGTGCCTTAATGCAATGCTTCTCCAGCAGAAGGACCCACACCCCTGGTGGGACGTTGGAGCCGTCTAAGTGAGGGGTTCGTTGTGTCCCCCTTTGAACAAGTGAGCCTTGTGTTTTTACCTTGCTGGTGCTCTTGTTTTTCTGCAAAGCGATTGGTGGGTTGAGAGCCACTGGCTTAAGGTCTGTTGGGCACCCTGATGCCCTCTCTGTCTCCCCTCACAACTCCTGCTCCTATTCCCTGATGGATCTGGGCCATAAACGGCTGCTGTTTGATTTGACAGAGAGGCCTGGTTTGTTGGTGTTTTGATCCCTGCTTTTCCTCCAGCGAGTTTGGCTGTCGTTACTGATCTCTCTCTCTTCTGAACAGCCCTGTGAGGTCGGTCAGGCTGAGAGAACGTGATTGCTCCCGGATCGCAAGGACTGGTTCCAAATAGGGATTTGGGCACGAGTCTTTTCAGAGTCCTAGCTGCGACCCTCGAGCCAGCCAGGACACTGCCGTGGCAGTTTCCTGCTGTTGGACAGCTTGCCCTGTAAATCCATGGCGAAGCTCCTTGTCTTCGGAATGTTGTTTGTAGGCAGCGGTTTGGGGTGGGGAGCAGAGAGGACGAAAGGCAGGGTTGCTGTCCTGCTTCCATGCCCTGCTTGGTGGGCTTCCTGGAACATCAGACTGGCCCTCGGTGGTCTGATCCTGCGGCTCTCTGATCAACCTTGCAGCTGGCGTTTTTTTGCAGCCTGGTTATCTTCTCTCAGATGAAAAGGCCTGTCGTTTGTGGATTATGGGTTGTGATTAGCCGAGATCTGCTCTCGGCTTTTTGTTGTTGTTGTTGTTGGGGCAGCATTAATGTGAGCTTGTGCAAGGACCCGCCGTGTTTAGAAAAGACCACCACCGGTTTGGCTGTAGGCAGATAAGACGGAGAGGCCCAACCGAGCCTTTGGCGTCTCAGCGGCGTTCCAACCCTTTTCTGGCAGGTAGCAAAAATGAGGACAGGCACGTGCCCCCTTTTCACAGAACGGTGGAAAGTCAACCGAACAAAGCCAATCTTGGCAAATGCTGGCTTCATTCACTCACGCTCCGGCCCTGAGTGTCGGTTCCTTTGGGGAAACTTGATGAAAGCATCTGGAGCACAATTTTCCTTAGAGGAGCAAACACACACACATATACACACACCCTAGAATCTTGGCAAGGCACCTCCCTCTCCTCCAATCATCATCATGAGGATGTTATTGGGTCTGCAGTTTGCATTCATTGGTCAGGGGGCTGTCTGAAGTCGAAACCCACCGACAGCAATGAATGTTGATTGCAGCCGTTATCTGAGCAGGAGCAGGAGCCCGTCTTCCGTTTCTGTCTCCCGGCCGTCTCCTTCTGTCCTACAGGGTGGTGGCCGTTGTTTTTAGGGACAGTAACAGCTGTAGGATGCTTAAGAGCAAGGGAATTGCTCCGTCTCTTGGCTTCTTCGGGAGCCAGGCCTGTCAGCCGACCCTTTGCTTGGCTTTTGAGGATGCAATGCCCATCGTCCCAGATTTTCAGCAAGGCTAGTTGGGGCCTGTAGGGAGTTCAAGGGGAAAAAACATCCGGAAGGTGTCACATTAGAGAAAGCGCTGCCAGTGTCTGGAGACAACAGACTTGCGTGTTTACCAGTGGTCAAAGCATAGCCAGCAGGATCCTCTGTGTCTGTCTGCTAGGTATAGGATGGGGAATAGGTTTTTCGGATAAATAAAAGGAGATGGCCTTAATGAGGTGGGGAGTTTGTTGATGTACACGTTGTGTTCTGATCTTCAGGGAGACTATTAAGACTGTATGTTTAAAACATGAGCGAACAGTGGCTGGGCTACCTGATCCACCATCCCCATTTTCTACCCGTCTGAGGGTCTTGGCCACCTCTATGAAATTTATTGCAAAGGTGGCAAAGTAGCAGTTCTCACACAATTATAGAATTGCGCAGTTTGGGTGGGACAAAACAAGGGTTCCTGACAAAAATCCCGACAAAACAGGGGTCCATGGCCAGAGCACCTTTGACAGACGATTGTTCAACTTCAGTTTAAAAAAAAAACTGGAGAAAACAAGAGCTTCCACTGTGGAACAGTTCTTAGCATGATCTTTCCCCCCCCATGTTATTCTTTCAGAATCTTCTTCCTTGTAATTTGAAGCCATTGGTTCGGTTCACTTTTGACCCTCTGAAGCAGCAGAGAGCAATCCTACAGAAGAGGATGGGAATTGAACCGATGGGTTTAAGTTGCTAGCACACCAAAAAAATATATATCACAAGACTTATTTTAAAATGAGGTTCAGGCTCCCAATTTGCTTGAGTGTAGCAAGGGTCAGAATTCTGATTGTAAACAAGGTGCCCAAAGAGTGTATATCTTGTTTAAG